ACGCCTGCTACCTCGGCAGCTGCTGCTTTCAGCGCGTACAGGAGCAAGGAAGGACAAGCCGGTGAAGTGCCCCATGCCCAACGTGCCCAGGAGCGATGCTGTGGTTAGGTGGCATCAAGTCGATTCCCACCCACAGTGCCCCTTGCACAACATCGCAAATCACTGCCCTCCAGCCAGACTTCATCTTCACCTTTGTTCCCGTGCTGGAGCCCAGCATGCTGGAGCCACTGTGTCCATCCGTCTCCTTGAGGGCCTTCCTCTTTTCCACTGCCCCTCTGCTTCACTAAGCATGCTGTCCTTCTCCAGGGACTGGTCTCTCCTGACAACAAGTCCGAAGTATGTCAGACAAAGTCTTTTTCTCCGTGCTTGCAAGCAAGCTCTACAGTACACAACTACTAATCCACTCTAGGCATCAGCAGAAACGATCAATTAGAATCAGAGAAGGCAGAAGTCTGATTGTTAGATACCAAGAGTGGACTCCTACTCATAGAATCTTATGTCTTTTTCTTCCACCCTCCCCATCTGCTATTCTAAGGAGCAGTCTGATTTGATTCTACTTCCCCAAAGACAAATGTGTTCATTATTCAAACAAGTCATGGTATAATCAATATTCTTCATTAAGGCCATCAGTGATTTAATGTGTCATTTCGTCCTTTTTGTTACCCAAATTCCCAATGCATATGAGAGGATAGGGCTGTATGGTTTTCAAACAAAGAAATCGTTTGTAGAAGTCACTAAGTTTTTGTTATATCTGGTTCTAAATCTTTCCCGAAACAGAAACTGTAAAGTGAAAAATTACAGCTATAATTAACCAATTTCTATAATCTTTAACTATACCTTCTTATTCTCTTAATAATATTAGAGCTAGAAAGTATTTCCAAATATATAGAGAGAAATTGAGGCTCATGCATGACTGAATACTGTGTTTTTTTTATTCGTAATCTACACGGCCAGACACCATGCCACAGTAGCCTTTCTGTTTCATGGACTTCCGGTGTGCTGTGTCTTCTTCATGGCGTATCATCTGTAAAGGTGAACACAAAGAAAGAAAAAATAATAAATTGAGACTCAAGAAGAATAAATAATTCCTTTATGATCACACAGTCAAAAAAAAAGCGAAAGAAAGAAATGTATAAGACTGCATATTTAGCCAAAGCCAGAACTATATTTTATTCACTTCATTAGGTCACTCCTTAACATTACAAAGGGTTTTAGACCAAGGATTATTTTTGAAAATTGGTTTGCAGTTTCACACACCAAAATATAGTATTAAAATGGTGATCTAATAACCATTTAAAACAATTGACTCAATGGCAGCCAGCTTGCTTGATTTGTTGTTGTCATTGTTGTTGTTGTTGTTGTTGTTGTTGTTTGCATCCTTCAAGGTCACAAAACCAAGTCATTCTTTCTACAGATCATTTCCTTACTGGTTTAGCTGCAAATGGCTTCCTTTTGAATATGCTTACAGAAGTCTTGGGTTCTGTACAGTCGCTAAATGAAAAGCTTCTTTTCCAGTGTTAATGGCTCACCTGGATCTATACAAATTCTACTTATGTAGAATTTTTTAACTGTAGGTCTTCTCCCTACGAGTCATCTTTTTTTCACTTCTCATCTTTGGAATGATGTGTTTCCTGCATAGGCAGAAGTATTCATTTTTGCCGGCTCCCTCTAACTTACAAAGAATGGAACGCTAGTCAAGCGAAATGCAGCTCAATGACATATTCAGAGTAAACGATACCAGACATATTTTGTTAGATCCTAATGACAATTTTTTACTATTGTAAAGCATTGCATGTGAAATAAAGGTACTTTTATCTCCCTGTAAGCAGCACTTGAAGTAAAAAATACTGTTTTTAACCTATGGATCTCAGAATGATCTGATGTCCTAAAGAGAGGAATTGTGTAAGCCTTTGAAGGGAGAACTGACACTATCCACTAATAGTTAATCATGGTCCTTAGAGAAACCCTATTAACTCCATCTCCACAGTGCACGTGATGCAGCAGAGCTGGGAGCTTCGTCAGTTCACATTTATTAAAGTGTCGGAAGACGAGAGATGGATTGAGGGTTCCGTAAAAACCACTAGTGGGGTTAGAGGGGTTTCTCCAGTCATTCCATTGCATTAATTGCACTGGAAAAGCAAGTAGACACGGTGGCTTTTGTGAATTGTACTTTCTGTGCTCCTTAGACAGTGGCTGGTGGAGCTGGCACATCCTCCTTTGTTTAGCTGCATGCTTGGCATCCCTCCTTCAGCCTCTTCCCTCAAGCTGAGAGACTGGAGCAAGATACTCTAAATGCCTGCCGAATCCTGCCCATTAGCAGCAGGTATTCAGA